CAAACATGCATGTAGACCCTTTTGTGCACATTACATCCGTATCTCTCCGAGTACAAGCCCAAATACGGGTTGTGCAAGATCGTGGCTGAATGCTAAAGTCCACCTCACGACCTCGCCCGGGGTGAGTGAAAACGCCGTCTTTCCATTTCGGGCAGTGCTACCAGAAAACAGAGCCCTCCGCTTCGTAAATGGTGTGCCGAAGCGCCTCAAGCGAAGTTGAAGTTCCTTCGGGCCATCGGCCCCACTGTAGTTCAGATGCAACAAGTGCCCCTTAAATTGAGTAACGGTTCCCTCCGCTTCGTCGGCCTGTTTTTTTTTTGTTTCTGCTCACTGCACACCACCAACCACCAACCACCAACCACCAACCAACACCCGCCCCCACTACAACTTCGGCCTTTAACCCCCTTCACATGTGAACGTCATCTTCATTTTCAATCTCACCCGGTACGACAGAGCCGACGTCTGTGCATTGCCCTTCCACTAGCTTAGCATGAAACGTTCTTCATCAAACCATGCCGGCGTTGAGAAGAAGGGATCGGGAACAGCTCACAGTCGTAGTCATGGCTATGGCAGGGAGGATGGCAGAGGATGCTTTTGACATTGTGGACCGCATATGCCATAAGAGGACGCTGAGTCTCCAGGGTTTGCTCAAGAGCGGCAACGAAGGCCTCCTCTTGGGCAACGATGATGCAGATGATGATAGTCGTGGGGGACGGTCTTTGCTTTGGCTGTGGCCCACTATTGTTGATGTCTGCAAGCTGTTGCCCCGTGCTTCGCCTAGGTGGTGGGTCATGCGGCGAACAGGTGGGCTGTGGAAGGATCTCCTTCCGTGTGATGATGCGGAGGATGACCACTACTTGGGTCTCTTACGCATGCGGCGGTCATCATTCAACCGTCTTTTGCGGAAGGTCGGTCCCCTCTTGGAGAAGGAGGTGACAAAGTTCAGGGTCCCTTTGGATCCTGCGAAGAAATTGGCGTACGCTCTCCACAGGTGGGCGCACGGTGACTCTCATTGGCATACTTGTTCCGGCTAYRGTATGGGMAAAACCAGTGGACTCCGAGCCATCAGAGAGGTGGCTGAGGCCATTATYACGTGTTACYSGAACAAGGTCGGGTTTGGGGGTTTTSYGGAGYGTCATCGTAGAATGYAGTTGTTTGACGCGGAGGGCTTCCCGAACTGTTGGGGGTGCATAGACTGCACCCATGTTTATATGGACAAGCCGCGCACGAGGGATGGGGATGACTATTGTTCGGGAAGATTCAACAGGTTCTCCATTGTAGCACAGTTGGTGGTGGACTCGGAACTGAAGATCCTGGACTTCTGCTATGGATTCCCAGGGACTGTTGGTGATGGACGCRCRTTGAAGTCGACGTCACTGTACAGGCGCGGTCTGCAAGGTGAACTGTTCTTGGACGACCCCGCTGATCCTTTCGCTGCTGAGAGGCCGGCAATTGCAGGTGTCCCTGGCRGGTACTTGCTCGCCRATGGCGGGTATCCCAGTCTACCATGGATCGTCACTCCTTACGGCCAGCAACCGAATTTCACAACTGCCATGCAACAGTTYGATGCRCTCCACAAGATAGTGAGATCTTGCGTGGAGCGTTTTTTTGGAGTTTTCAAGATGCGGTTCCAGTTCTTCTATCGTCCGCATGTGACCGATATAAGGAGGGAGGGTTTGGAATTCGAAGCCTGTTGTATTCTCCACAATCTATTTTAGGAATGGGGAGACATGCCGCAAGAGGACTAGGAGTTCTCTGATGCGTCTTCTCCTGACACACCTCCTCCCCGTGGTGGACAAGGAAGTGTGGGACTACCGCTTGAATTCATGTTCGGTCACGAACGCGAGCAGGCCGTGAGAGATGCACTGTGTGCAGAATTGGTCCGCTTGTATGAGCTTCGGAGGGAGCAGTGAAATGGGCCTCGCGAGCAGACCACTGCGGCACGGGTACTAACGTTCATTTTGGTGCCACTACAGACGTTTTACAGCCGAAGGGCTGCTCACTTAATGTCCATTGCTTTCATCATTGTTGTGCTGCAACAGATCGTTGGGTTCAGCTGAGTTCCTTACGAAGGACCAATGGCGGGGAGGGACTTCGTGAGGGAGAGGCGTGTGGTGCTGAATGAAATGGAGAAGATGGAGAGGGAGGTTGAACGAGTCCACGAGTACTTAGTGGAGAGGGGTGATAGCATCACAGTCACGATGCGTTGCGGTAGATCTGTTTGTGAAAGTGAGATGTCCCTCGAGAACATTCACGCTCGGAGATGGGCAAGTTCCGTTCTCAAGAGACTTCGTGCTTCAAAGGATAGTCTGCGACATTGCTGCGACGAACTTGTCATCCACAACCTCCAGATCCGACAAGATAACGTCGAGTGGAGACGAGTGTGGGAGGAGAGCCGAATGTGGGAGGAGAGCCGAGTGGAAGTACGGGACACTACCCGAGCCTTGCATGCTGCAATTCGAGACAGGGATGAAGCTCGGTCGAGGTGCGAGGCGGCCGAAGCGGACGTGGAAGTGGCACGTCAGCAGGCTGAAACCGCTTGGAGGTTCTACGATGACATTGTGCATGAAGTGACGGTGGGGACTGTTGGTGACAACGACTTGTGTGACGAATTCGAAGCTCTTCGCGTCAGTGGAAAGGGAAAAGCTGCAGGCACCCCATCAGCAACAGAGGGTGGACACGGGGCCGCATGTTCGTGTTGCGAGGAACTCAGTGGCAGGATGAAAATGATGGAGAAAGAGATCGCACATCTTCAGATTAGTAACGAGCTTCTCAGCCTCCCTGCTTCTTTCTGGGACGAGTCGAATTGGCAGCCTGTTGATTTTTCCGCGGGGCGGTCGTCCACCCCGCCGTCTGCGTGATGTCCTCCAGAGCGTATTCCATGAATGGAGGAGGTTAGCGAGAGAGAGAGAGAGAGAGAGAGAGAGAGAGAGAGAGAGAGAGAGAGAGAGAGAGAGAGAGAGAGAGAGAGAGAGAGAGAGAGAGAGA